TTTATGTGTTTTCCTGCATATAAGTAAGTGCACTCTTATGTGTAATGACAATAGAGGCCAGAAGAGGGTGTCAGATCTCCTGGAACTAGGGTTATAGACAGTTGTTAGCCATCAGGGAACTGAGCCTGGGTCCTCTGCAAGAGCAGCCAGGGCTCTTAACAGCTAAGCCATCTCTCCAGCCCTGTGACTTCAAATATTCTTAAACATAAAAAATTTTAACAAACCATTGCTTTGGATACTTTAACAAAATCGACTTGAGAAAGTAAAGTTTCTAAAAGTAAGAAAAAAACACAAAACAAAACACTTTAATAAGACTTTTCAATATTAGGACCCTTTATTTTCCACTATCAACTCAAAGGAAATGTGCATTCTGACCTACCTCTTTGTATTCATTGAGGCCTTCATCATCCATTTATTAGTGAGAGGATCAAACATCTCCATGCTACCTAAATGTTCATTTCCATCATGTCCACCTACTGCATATACTTTACCTGTCAAATAAAGAAGCATTTTCATTAGAGTCCTAATAGATCAATATTGCTATTTATATATCAACATTTTGTTTTGTTTCAGACAGGGTCTCACTGTGCAAACCAGGCTGTCCTTGAGCTCAGATATCCACCTGCCTCTGTCTCCCCAATTGCTAGAATTAAAGGCATGGGTCACACTCAGCCATAAATTAGGTGTTTTGTTTATTTTGTTTTGTTTTTGTTTTTGTTTTTAGATAGGGTCTCCCTGTAGCTCCAGCTGGCAGGGAACTATGTAGACCAGGCTGGCCTCCACAGGCATTGCACAAATGGGTGTACTTACATACATGCAGGCAAAACACTCATATACATAAAATTAAAATGATAATAGTAATAAAGAAAATATAAAAACATTTTAGGGGCTAGAGATGTAGCAGTTGGCAGAGTGTTTGCCTAGCACACATGAAGCCTTGGGTTCAATTCCCAGTATGGCATAACCTGGACACGGTGGCATATGCCTCTAATCCTTACACTTGGAAGGTAGTAGCAGGAAGATCAGTAGTTCAAGGTTGGCCTCAGTTACATAGTGGCTTCCAGGACAGCCCAGGCTAGAGGCCCTGTCTTAAAAATCCAAAGGAAAAAAAACTTTAATAAAAACTAAAAATTATAACTCAAATACCTAGATTTAATTTAACCCAGGGCATTTCACACATAGGGCAAGTTTCTACTACTGAGCTACATTCTGAGCCCTTGGTCTTTAGAGGCATTGCTCAGGCTGACTTGGAACTGAAATCTTCCTGCTTTGGCCTTCAAATGCTGGGATTATAAGCATGTGCTACTATACCCAGCCAGAAGAGTTTAACTTATAATTTCTCTTTTTCTGGCTACCCATTTCCATATTTCTATACCTATATGCTAAGCATCTGTGGACAGAAAGCAAGCAAATAATCACCACCCAAATATTTAATCAGTATATTAAAATATTTTACAATTAAGTAATTTCCTTATATAAAGGGAGAAAATTTCAAAGTTCAAGAAATTAAGCAGAACACCATGGTTATATGCTATTTTAAGCAATACTACACACCTTCCACAGAGATCACACCCACGTGTCGCCTTCGGCTGTTCATTTCTGGTCCAAAGAACCAACTGTTTTTGTTGATAGAATAGCATTCGATACTACGAAAGGGGTCACCAGATCCACCTCGACCACCTACACAAAACAGCACACCTAAAAGTAAAGTCAGAACACAGAGATCAATATCACAGTTTTCAAAACTTTGTTTTTAATTAGTGTAGAAAACTGTCAAAATTTTAAGTAATGATTAAAAAGGTGAGTTATATTGATAATAATCAATGTGATATTACTAGAAATCTATTTTTTTGCCCCCCTTTTTTGAAATTTTTGAGGCATACGATCCAGTTATCTGTCCTTGCTAACATCCTGAATGTGGTTTATGCCCTCACTCAGTATAATTGTTCTTGCTAAAATCATAACAAAATTAATCTTATTTTTTCCTTAGTGAAAAGGGCAAGTTTGTTTAGTACACTGCAAAGAAAATGGTGGGCATAACAGCAACAGAACTGTGTGTCTCAGTCAACCTCTAATTTATTCCTGACCGAACATGAACACACGGTTAGATGTGTGCATTTCCCTGTTTGGGGAAGTTCTCTAATAAAGTCTCCTTTCGTCTCCCTTTTGTTTTCTAGGTTCACACTTGGCCCACTTCTCACATACTTTTTGCTCACATAGGAAAAGTTCATACTTTCGTTTTAAATGCCATCCGTATCATAGTATCTTCCAGTCCACAATCCTAAACTGCTTTGAAGTCCTACAGACCCCTGAAAACCAGTATTCAAAGCATCTGCTCCCTGCCTAGCTAAACAATCTCTTCCTTCCCTGCAGTGTCCTACCTGTCCCTATTGCCCCCACCACCACCTTGGCTCAGATGTCCATTGGCTATTGCTCAATTATAGCAAGATCTTGACTCTCATCACTTAGAAGCCATTTTGCTCTCAGACTGTAAACAGAATAATCTAATTAAAATATTCTTTCAATACTGTTCCATTACCTCTATCCACAAAAAAAACCTTTCCAAATGCCTTGAAATTATAAAAATGGTTAAAATGACAAATTTGTGTTATATGTATTTACCACAATTTTTAAAAAACCCACTTTAATGTGATTCAGAGTCATCTGAAGGGCATAAAACACAGATCACAGAGCCTGTCCCTCAGAGTTTCTGACTCAGTAGCTTTGGGATAGGTCTAAGAACTGTATTTCTAACAAGTTCTCAAGTGAATGCTAATGCTGCTGATCCCAGGGTGACCACTTCCATCATATTCTGAGAAGCAGTGAATGCCTTCAAGGTAAAGCCTTGGGGCTGGAGATGTGGCTCAGTGTTAGAATGCTTGCCTGAGGCCCTGGGATCATCCCCAGCACTGCAAAAAAAAAAAAAAAAAAAAAGGTAAAGCCTTAGCACAGTATGAACTCCTTCTAGGCTCTCCCCCCAAGCCCTCATATTTCATGCCCTTACAACATGCATATAGTGCCCATCCTTGGTGCTCCTACAGCACTTTTGGTAACTAGTATTCGCTGATACATCACTAAAACAATCCATTGTGCTGACAACTGTTACATCTAAGCAAGAGTAAGGCTGGGGTAATAACCATTCATGCACCAGCAAGGCCTAGCAAAATGCCCAGCATGTACTAGACATTCAGTAATGATAAAAGGGCTGAAAAACAGTCTCCCTAACTGGCATCCAGAGGATTACCTATTTATCATTTAAAACCAAGACTGAGTTTTATTTTCTCTTTAAAACTTTTTCTGTATTAAGAAAACCTTTTTCTGACTCTTACAAGGTAAAACCAACCTTCTTTGCCTTCCCTCCTACACTCTGCGATCACAGCAAAGCACTCGTAATGCTTTAGGAATTTATTTGTTCAAATGTCTTTTTCCCCAGAGCAGACCACAAGCTCTCCCAACACAGGCTGTATATTTGCATTTCTAAGGCCTATCCCAGAGCCTGCCACATAGTAGGCATTTAGTGTTTGCTAAGTGACTACAGAAATGAAAGAATTTAACCACTTGTGCTTTCTTTTCCACTTAATTCAATACTTTGTGTCATAGAAGTTTAAAGTTAGAAAAAGCTCTAAGGATTATGTAGTCAAGTTGTTTATAATAAACTAAGGCCTTTAAAGATTAAGAAATTATTCAAATATGTAACGATACTGCTAAGATTGTAAGTACAGAATTGGCTAGCCTGGAACTCGCTATTTAGACCAGGCTGGCCTTGAACTCACAGAGATCCACCTGCCTCTGCCCAGATCTACAATGCCCAGCCTAGAATGTTATCTATTATTTGATAATATTTTGTTAAGGGAAAGGTAATACTCTATCTGTATAGGTCACCTTAGAACATACTACAAAAGAAAAGAAAAAAACTAAAATGGAAGTGAAAATATCAGCATGCAAATCTTTTCTGTTACTTCCCTGTGTGCTTTTAGCAAACTTCTAGCCTAATTCTTAGTTTTGTTCCCTGAAACAGAGTAATACCATCTATCTGAGAATGAGGTTAACTTCTTTGTTAAAACCTACTATATAAAGTTCTGACAATTAGGTGAGACCATGTTATATGAGTGTATAGTATATTTTGGCATATACCTAAGCTATTATGATGTTGAATTCAAATCTTGGTTTGAAGAGTGCTTGTACAAGTGTATGAAGAGTGTATGCACAAGGCCATGGGTTCAATCCCACAAGCAATCAAACAAACAAAATACTGAATTTAAAGAATTTCATCAAATTTCTTGAATTTATAAAATAGGATTCACAATTAAAAACTAAACTCTGTAACTGAAATTTTAAATTCTTTTTATTAACATAAAAAGGATAGTAACAGTGTTTTCACATAAACTAGGTATTTAGAACACTGAGAAGCAGGCGCATTCATACTCAAACACTACCTTCTGTGGTTAGGCTAGTCCACAGATCTCATCTGACAACCATATTGGCAGCAAATGCAAAGGAAGTCTCTATACAGAATTCCTTTTCCTGAGTTGCTGGACCTCACATTCTCTCATCCCTCAAATATGCTACAGTTTTTAATGTAAAAAATGTAAGTGACTCTGGGCATGGTGGCACACACCTCTAAATCCAGCACTCAGGAAATGGAGGCAGAAAGATTGGGGTTCAAGGCCAGCCTTGGCTACATAGTAAGTTTAAGATTAGCCTGGGCTGCATGAGACTCTGACTCAAGATAACAGCAAAAAATATATACATACACACATATATGTGATCATGAACTATTTTCTTGGGAAAACAAAGTCTAAAAATTCTGCCAACTAAATGTAAAGCTGTATGTTTCTTAAAACAGAAGAGCTTTAGATTCTAAGAGTCTAATGTGGCCCATTATATAAATGTCAGGCGTGTTTAATGCTTTCTTTTGATTTGGTAAAATGCAGTAACAGATATTGAAATATGTAGTATGTGCCAAGATCCTTAGCCATCTCTGGAGAACTTAAGACATGTCAAATACACAGATTACAAGGAACATACTCTAGGGGTACTAACAGAGAAGCTATTCTGTCTGAAGAGCCAGGGACTACCTCAAAGGAAAAGCCACCGCTTCAGACTTTATAGATTTATGGCCTTTTTAAAAAATTAGGTTATTAGAAGCAGGCATGTGATACACACTTGTGATTAAGCACTCAGGAGGCTTAGGTAGGATAACTATGAGCTTGAGGCCAGTCTGAGCTACATGAGACCCTGTCTCATACAACCAAAAACTGAAAGAAAAAAAACCTCAAAACCTGCTGTACTAGTAAAACTAAATGATACACAGTAAGAATCATGAATGCATACATAAACTTACTTACCAATTACTACCTTAAGGCAATCAGATGATAATTATCTGACTATTAAGTTTAGGCATACATAACCAACCCTCAAATATGTCAAAGATCCTTTCAGGCAAGTTGATAAAATAAATAATATAATTACCAGCAGTACGCTTCCTTGGGGTAGTCCGAACTGAGTATTCAAAGTCAGGTACTGCTTTGCTGCTCAAATGAAGGTGATAATTTCTTGCTTCATCCAATAAATCTCTACATTTTAGATTTTGCTTGACAATCTGTTCTTTTGCCACAACACCCATAAGAAAGTCAATTGGCAATAATGGCAGACGAACCTAAAATCATGAACAGTTGTGATATAAAACTTAAATAGTAATAGAGCAATTTATCCTCTACTTTCAACTGATCTAGTGGTTAGAGGTATAACTCACTGGTAGGCCATTTGTCTATCAAGTACAAAACCCTGGGTTTAATCCCCAGCACCATAAAAGCAAAACAACAAAAATTGTTACATGTGAAATCAATAGTTGGAAAAAAATTATTGTATGTGTTTAAAAAAAATCAATCTAATTATAATCACACTTTGACTAGGCTTACTTTCTCTGACCATAAATATGAGCAATTTTTCTTAACATCTGCTAAAATTTTGATAATCCTATTATTAATATTTTTATTAAAATTTGGCATAGCTGAGCATGGTGGCTCATGTCTGTAATTCTAGCACTGGGAAGACTGAGATAGGATTGTGAGTTCAAGGTCAGCCTGGGCTACAGAGACTGTTTTGAAACAACAAATTGGAATAACTACCCAATTCTTTTTGAGACAGTTTCATGTAACCCATGCTGATCTCAAACTTGCTACACTGCCAAGGATGACCTTTGACTTCTGATCCTCCTGCTTCTACCTCCTGAGTGCTGGGATTAGAGGCATGAATCACATTTTATTTATGCTGTGCTGAGGATCACACCAGGGGCTTCATGCAAGCTAGCTAGGCAAGCAGTCTATTGACTGAACTTCATTCCCCATCCTAAGCCAATGTTTTCATCAATCACAAAGTTTTTTAATATTTTATTTTGTTTTTAAATTTAAAAAGTTATCTATTTTTATGTGTATGAGTGTTTTGCCTCCATGTATATAAGTGCACCGTGTGTGTGCAATGCCTATAGAGGCAAGAAGAGGGTGCTGGATCACCTGAACTGGAGTTACAGTCAGCTGTTAGCCACCATGTGGGTGCTGGGAACCAAACCTGAGTCCTCTGTGAGTAGCTAGTGCTCTTAACCACCGAGTCATTGTTCCAGCCCCAATCACAAAGTTTTAACAGAGAATTTATTTTTTTAAAAAGTAAATGAGAAGATTATTTTAAGTATAATTTTACTTCTCAGGAATAAACAAAGGGAGGAGGACAGGAAGGAGGAAAAACAAGGGGAGGCAATAGGATAGGAAAAGGGAGGAGTGAGAAGAGGAAAGGAAACACGATACAGACCCTAGAAGGCCTGTTTATTAGCTCCTTATCCAAGCTACCCCTGTTGGCAATTAAAAAACAGTAATAATCATAATAGACACATTTTGAGGTTTTAAAATAAAATGTAGCAAAGAAAATTTCAAGTGGTTTTTTATAGTTCTTTCCAGAATAAATCTATAACTAGAATAACTACTTTCATTAGAAAAATGATTCATTAAATTTAGAAACTTCATTATAAAATAAGTGATAAATTATAGTTAGAGCGATTTCCTAGGGCCATTTCCAACTAACAAAAACATAATATTCATTAATACTATTTTAAAGGAATATTTAAAATATGCAGGTTAAAAATCATTCAAGTACAACACATTTAGACTTATCTTTAGTATAGGAAATGAATAGGGAAGAGGGTTAAACTCTGAAGCCATTTTTGTTACTTTTTACACCAATGGTATCAATACTCCTTCATGAAACTACAGTTCATAGTAAATAAAGCATGCTTATTTGCTTCCATGTAATTTTCTCTTCATATACAATCTTATTTCAACCCTACCTGTGCAAGTGTTTCATCCAACCACTTGGAATGATGCTGAGGGTTAGCTAGAAGCCACTTGATAGCAGCACTATAGACCTGTTTTTCACTATCAATATTCAAATCACTGGAGGATAAAAGCTTGTGAAGGTGCTGAGGTGATACGCTTACAAAATCTTCACATTCTACTACTTCAGTAAAATGTTCACAGGCGTACTGATCCGCCATGTCCATTAAGTCTATTCGGTTGTGACTTTCTGCAAAGGCTCTGACTGCTAGGCAATTTGAGGGATGAAAATGTAACTTCATGTATTCACAGCAAGCTCTGGCCACCAGTTCAACCTGCAGAATACAGGCTGCATATAGGAGAGGCTGGACGTTGTCAACTGTCAAAGTGAGCCGTGAAGAATAGACAAATTTTACCAAGTCTTCTATTGCATCACCATCAAAATCTCTAATTTCAATCAGCGTTTGTTTGGCTTCAGCCATTTCAGAAAGAAACATGGCTCTGAAGTAGGGAATCACACAAGCCAGTACCAACTTGTGACAAGAGATTAGCTTTGAGCCAACCTATTCAAAACAAACAAACAAACAAACAAACAAACAAACAAACAAACAAACAGAGAAAAGATAGTTTCATTCCAAAATCAGCTTCAGATCAGCAGAGGACATGTGCTATAAACAAGGACAAAACTAGGACAGCTTAGATACAGAGGATTTGCTTTAAGAATGCACTCCATTGACTAGTCAACTTTCAACTACGCCAGTTTCTTAAAGTCAGGTAATTTTCATCTTCCAAATCAGCCACTTACATGTTCACATATCTGTAGCAAATAAGCAATGAACTCTAAATTTCTATATTATCTCACACTTGAGCATTTTGTAAATCAGTAAACATTTTTAAGATAGCCTTTTTAAGATGGTCTTTTTGAGACAGGGTCTCCCCGTAGCCATAGCTGGCCTGGAACTCACCATGTAGACCAGGCTGGCCTTGATTGCACAGAGATCTACCTGCCTCTGCCTCCCAAGGGCTGGGATCATTGGCGTGCACTACTACACCCAGCTAAAAATAACCTTTTAAAAATGATCTGAGGTAAAGGAAAAGAAAGAACCTGGAAGAGAAGAAGAGTAGGAAACAGGCCTTAATAAGGGAGATATGGATAAAAATTGGGTTAGTTTAAGGGAGGGGGGAGGGAAGGGTATACAAGGAACCTAGGGGATAAAGGGAAAGAAGGAGCTCAAGAGAGGTAGGACCATAGGAGAAGGGTATTAGTAAGGGAGAAAGGGGGGAAATGGGGGCACCTTAAGTACTGACAAATTATACATAGCAGATCAAGAAATATATGTCTAGGTAAGGTTTATCTGAGAACAATTGGTCTTTGCCCAAGATTTATCTACATGACACACAGTAATTAAAAATACCAGACTGGTGGAACTAACCTTCTTGGTTGTTTAACAGACATACTTTGAGGCCTATAATAATTTGGTCAGAGGGACATAAAGAAAAGTTTTTGCTCCTAGCCCTCCTAGGTCGACTAATTCCAGGGGACTATGAGCATCTCTCAAAATGTCCTATAATGGTGGTGGGTCACCTGTCCTCTTGATCAAGGAGGCCAAGGAGACCCCACCAGATGGACTTGAACCAGTGTCCTCCCAGTGGAGGGTCAACACAGAGGAATCATTTCCTCCATGCTTCCAAGCGAAGCCAACCATG